AAATAGTCCATCTCTCCATCAGAGGACAGTGCTCTCAGTGATATTTTTGGGTCAACTGTATAATTACAGTGTATGTGACTCTCCCGTTATATTTAAGGTACTACTGAAAAGTGATATTATTTCCAGTCAATATAATGGATGAGGAATGCATTAAAAATGTTCTACGTTATTTCCTTATTGCTTTTGGGTTGTTAATGGATGAATTAAGTGAAGCACAGCAAAGAGTATATTTGTTAAAAATTTCTATGCAAGCTAAAAGAAAATTAGCAAATGACGGTTTATTCTTGGTAATAGATCAGTGAGTTTATACTGACTTAAAATTTACAATTTAGACTTTGTATCAGCTGATCACTTTTGGTGCTTTCGATCCACTGCTAGATGACTGGAGCGATCTGACACGAATTGGTCTTGTTTGTGAATTGCTTCTAGTTTGTGGCGAATATTTTAATGTTGGTTCAGCTAAGAAAAAATTGGATTGCTTTTTAGCATATTTTTACCGGTATTTGCTGGCTAAAGAAGAAGCATTCAAAGCTCGCGATATTGTTTTTCCCAAGAATGTACGTTGCTAACGTTTACTTGTATAATCCTCAGACTTCGTTGCATTTCGCTTAATAATTCATGAATGCATCTGTTATTTCGACATTCAAGGTGCGTTTTCGTGTGGACGAGATGAATGATTATGTACGAAAAGGCATTAAAATCCCGGAATCTTTCGACGAAGCACAACGAATTGTTGATGGAATTCAGCAGCAGTACGGAAAAATGGTTTTATTTTTGCTTATCTCGAAAAATATTGGGTAAAACGAGTTTTCTGTAAACTCTTTTTTTTAGTCTTCATAAACTGGAGATTTTAGTTTCCAGAATAATGATGTGAAAGTATTGAAAAATTGCAGGTGCTTATAAATACTCATAAAATTTTTCATATTTCCTTTAGTTTCTGTCATAAAATCAAAAAAAAAAGTCATTTTAACGAAGAATTCATACTGTTCTAGGGAAGATTATTCATTATAAGTACTGATAAGAGGAAAAATTAAAATACAATGAAAAATATGAGTACAGACATACGTTCGCAGAGTGAAATAGTCATATCTTACAACGTTTTTTTTTTTGTTGAACTACTGTTTATCGGTAGCAAGAAAACAAGGTTTTTGAAATATGAAATTTGATTAGTTTATTGGTGTATGTAATCAAATTTCCTATGCAAAATAGTAGTTTGGCCGTATTTTCGAAAGTAGTTAATATCCGAGATGTCCTTACTTTTGATGATTGTTGACATGAAAAAGATGAATTTTGTGTGTGTTGTCTTTTACTGATGATTTCTTTACGATTTCTCAAGTCCATATTATAGTGCTAGATAGCATCTAAACTTGCGCATTTCACAATAGGTTGAGTTTGTAGGTTTTGTGCAGTATAGGGAAGCCTGAAAATAGCGAAGGTAGAAATGCAAATACTGCAAATATAAAACGATATTGACAATTAGTGAAACTTTGCATGTATGAGGACTATCTAATCTCATTTATATGTTTAGGTAGATGCAGCGCGTGAAGGAAAAGTAGACCACCAAACAGAAGAAGTAATAGACGAAGAGGAAGAAGAACCACGAAAGATAGACTGTGCCCTTGAAACCGGCAGAGACGACAATATCAGTAGCAGGTTTATAGCAAATTTTAGTAAATATAATGCTAGCGTTCAAGTCTTGGGATTGGTAGTAATGAAGTTGATAATGAATTTCTTGAATTCAAATTTTCATCATTTGCGATTATTCAGTAGAACAGGAGGATACTTCCCATCTTTGTGAAACATTATTTATGTGCCACAAGAAAAAAGTGTTCCATTCTAATTAATTTGTGTAAATTATGCTACCTAAAGCACCACTTACGCTTATTGTCTAATATGCATTGTCGTTTTAGCTTGCTAGAAGTTTATGATGTATACTGCGATACTTAGTAACTGTTTTCTCAAATCTTAAAGAACTTAGATATTTTAATAACAGTGAGTGCATTTTGATCAGACAAAAAATAAAGTGTTCAGTCAGTGCATCTCTTATAAACCGATTAAGTTATAGGAACTAAGGATTTGAAATAATTGCTACTAAAGGACTTTGATCTGGAATTTATTGAGAATTCTCCTTGATGACTACATTTTAGACTCCAAGAATTTGGATATCAAAATTTTCAATTCTTGCACTGAGTTTGATGGATAATAGCATTTGAGAATCGAAATCTAGGCTAATGCACCAATTCATAATCATCTATACATTAATATCTGTTGTTGTTGTTGGTTCACTAACTTTGTTTTTCAAACAAATTTTCCATGAAATTTATAGTTTTCAAACCATAATCTGAATTCTTCATAATAATATAGATGGTTAGAAAAAAAACTATCGGATATGCTGCGGTGATAGAGAAGGAAGTGGAAGATGCTAGAGAAAAAGTAGAAAGAGCTGCTGTAAAAAAAATGTCAAAAAGTCGTATTATTTATTGCCTGAGAATCGAAGTAATTTTATTTTGCTAAATTATGAGTAAAGATAGTTAGAAATTTCGAAATGATTTAAAAGGATTTATGTAATACTGAAGTGATTTATGTAGTCGTATGGTAGTCCACAAGTGTGACTCAAACTCTCTCAATGAAGTAAATGAGAAAGAACAAAACATATTCCCATTATACTGCACTATATGCATTTAATTAAAATCACTATTTCGTAACATTTGGATGTTTTCAAGGTACTAATGGTTTTTAAATAACCTAACTGGGAAGGAACAAAGAATCTGCTGACAGTTTAAACAAAAAAAAAAAAGATCATTTCGTAGCATGGACGAATTGTTTTACTAATTCAAATCAAAGTTATTCCTAAAGCTTATGAAAGATTACTTGGAGCTAGAATCATTTTTAATAAACCGGTATCATTAAGGCGATTAAACAAGCTTAATCTGTCCCTTTCCCTTATTGAAAACTATTCCAAATGAATTTTCTTGTACGAAGTTATTCAGTGTTAAAAAATTACGTTTCATTGAAGAAAGGTTTTTCACAATTTGTGGTTTTGCAGTGAAGAGATTGTTGTATCAATTTATGATGAAAATGAAAGCGTTCGTGTGCATACAAACCGTGTTATGCTACCCGAAGACGAACTGTTTGTACGTCAACTTGAGCAAATAATTGCAGAAACAATGCAGGTAAGCTATATTTACTCATTTTGTTGCTTTTCATATTCTCATTTCTTGCATTTTATCCTCATAAAGTTTTTTGGTTTACATTTCGGAGCGGCAGCAAAACACGTAGATTCTAAAATAAGTGAGTTTTTGCTTAATGAATACCCGTAGTGATTTTATTTTACGAAATGCTTGACACTACTAGCATTTAGAATGATGCAAACTAGGATTTGTTATTGTGAAAAAAGATGCATTAATACAAGTCGTTCTTAGTGTTGTAATGGGAAATGGAAGAAAGATATGGTTTGAAGTAGAAAGTAATATTAGGAAAACTGAATATTTATATGATTCTATCTCAAAACTATTTTCACACGTTTGTCGTAAATGGTGTCCTCTTTTTTAGTTCTTGTTATATTTTGTAAAAATACAGAGGGGAAAATTAGTTTCAGTTTGTTTGGAATACAATTTGGGCTATTTCATTTAGTTTAATTCACTGAAGCGGTATTTTATCATTTGGGGGACAACATACCCGCCAACTCACTTTTAAAATGACATATGTGATGCAAACCAGCTTTTTATCGACACTAATGAGAGCTTTTATTCATTTTACTAATTCATTTGCGCAGGGAATGTTGTAGTTTGGGACTTTAACGAGAACAATTCATTTCACTTCAAATTTGTCGAAGCCAAACTGAATAACAGTTTTGCAGAGTAGGGCAAATGCCGTAAGTGTTCCAGTTTCGGAAATAGTAGTACCGACATCTGCACGTCAAAAATTTCATAGAAGCATTGCATTTGGTATGTTTTTTATTGATTATAATATTTTGGTAGTTTTCATAATGTACAGCTTAAAGTAACAATATAGGATGCCTTTCTGTGTGTGAGTCTGGAACTACATTGTGGAATTTTAATATCTTCTTATAGTTATATGCACGAATGATATCGTTGGATTAACATTTGTAGTATTTCAGATGCAAGCGCTACTAAGTCTGATGATGCATCAAAACCGGGAACAGAAACGAGAATGGCGATTTTAACGCGAGGAAAAGGAAATAAAACAGTAACTTGGATTTTTTTTTCTGTCATTAGAGTTTTTGATCACTTGCCCTTCTTTCTTGTTTGCCAATTATCTGAAGCTGAGTTGTGATGTAAGGAAGTGTAATTGCTCAGGTGCTGAAGGCGATAGCAATGGATGCACCGAGTTTTCTGACGGAAACATGGAATGCACAGCGGGAGAAAGAACGTAAAGAACTGACCGCTCATAAGCACATAACGCTGAGTATGAATGAACGAATGATGATGGATGATGATGAGTCTTTATCAGAATAAGGTACATCTCGTTTGTGTTTCTAATGCTGAAATATAACCTTCATTGGACGGATCATATCCGCCGAGATGTCCGTGATATCCAGTAGCCAGGTATCCGGATTAATCAGAATGAAAGACACCACGAACCGAAAGTCGATGATTTTTTTGGCACTCTGGTCGCTGAAGCTTGTGTAGTCGCATGTGGAAATCGATCGTTAACGATTCAACACGAATCTTTCATTTGTCGGTAATTATATTACATATTATACTCGTTGCACAGAATTTCTGAGAAGATAGATTCTTCATAGTTATTGCTTCATTTCATTATTTTACACTTTTTTTTTTCTGTATAAGTTAAGGTAGTTAATTTGTGTCAGCTCTATAAAGCGGTTAAAATATTTATGGGTGAAAACGATATTTAACATTCTGTTTAAGAAATAGTTCCAGGTACATGACGTTTGTATCTGTCTCAGTAGTCTGAAATAAGAGATAGTGCTGTTTAGTTGATACTGTTGTAAATGTAATGTGTGACGGTTTATCAATTCATAGTGGTTCTTGTCGCTGTATTACATTTGTCGAAAGTGCATACACATACGTGTAGCAGTACTGATGTTCTTGTGTCATATCCAGTTGAACGTTACGTGTCAAATTTGGAACATTTTTACCTGCAGTATGTTGAAAACATTCCTGCCGACCACATCCAGCACCAAACCAGTAAAAGGCATTACATTACCTCTGTTATTCATCGCTATCGTTACACATACATTTTGATCCTGTTCACTTTGTATCGGTACTGTGAGACAAATCGGACGTGGTAATTGTGCGGTAGCGTGGAATTTATCAAGTTGAATAGCGTTTTGATGGGTGCTGCTGCTAGTTGACATGTCATGCAGGTCAAGGCAAAGTAGATGGTCAGTGTAGTGGTGCTCTTGCTTAGAGAGGATGGTTTTGAATTTGAGCTTAAAACGTCTAGTCGTTTTTGCTGGCGGTGGTGTATGAGCGGATAAAACATTGTAGTGTGCTTAGTTGGAACAATCATTGTTTTTAGCAAATACCGTGAATCGATTTGCTTACATTTTTATCTCCCACCTCCCAGAGCGTAATTTTCTGAAGGTGGAGTTTCACTTTCGTCAAATTCAAATCGTAAATCCGTTCCTTTCCACAATTGGCTTGGTCATCTCTACATGTCTGGAATTATATGTTAATGATAACTTTCATCGAGATAGGTTTCTGAATTAGGAAGAGCTTTAATAATGGTTTTCCTCATAAAGCTTTAGATGAGTGACAAGGCCCAGCTGTCACTGTCACAAGTTTTATACATATTACTCATGCGAGCAGCGGATAGAAGAATCGAATTGGATTTGTGCAAATGAATTGTATATGTAATTTGTCAACACAAATTCATATATATATGTTTGCACAAACGTTCCTTGCTGGTATGATGATGCAAGGATATGTTTTTGAAAGAAAATTTATCAGCATGGGAACTTAGAAATTCACGAAAGTAAACATAAGGAACTCGAAACAGTTTCACTATCTCGAGTTTACTTCGTTTACAAATACTGGTTCAGAAGTTCACAGCTGCTCTTCCAATAAATTCCTTAAAAACTTGTCCACTTAATAACAACCATAGTTCTTTGTGACCGTTCACACTGTGGATTTATTGCCCAGTTATGTACACAATGCACATAAAACCGCACATTACCTCGAGAGGGATGCCATAGTTTTGTAACAATTAAATCAAAGACACCCCAGATTTTAACATGAAGATAACGAATAAAATATTTACAGAAAACTTCGGATCCCGAAGTGGCAAACATTAGGAAATTCTTACTATTACTATGAGACGCAGTGAAATATCGCAGAGTAGTAAGAAACCGGTAATAAATTTATTCAGGATCATGAAAAAGTGTTCCCAAGAAATGCAAGAACTCGATATTAAGGAGAAAAGTGGAATTAGTGATTTATTGAAATCAGAGTAGCTATAGAAAAGCACCGTCAATAAAAAATCAACAGTGTGAAAGGAAATATCGTTGGATCAGCTTAAACTAATGAAATTAATAATATACTGTAGTGCTGCGATGATTCTCATACCATAAGATGGAGGATTTTCATAGGATTTCCTGAAAACTGAAATATTTCTCACCTTCTACGAAAAAAAGGAAGTGATAAAATGAGGGAAGAAAACATAAGCGTTGCTAACATTCAAAAAAATGTTTAGGAGCACTTTTGTCAAACACATATTCTGCACGCCACTTTAAATTTAACAAAAGGAATGAAACAAAATAAAGATGAAAACAATTTTTACTATGGAAAAAACAACAGAACGTATCTATTATTCATTCCCTCAGTCATAACAGAGAATTCTGATAATGACTGCAGTGATAATCATAAGAATAAATAATTGAAAATAACGCGTTAGTAACATCGAAAAGAGCACTGTGAAGGAAGGCAATGGATTTAGCTTTTTGAAAGTTGGTTCGAAAGCCAATCCAAACCTTCATATAGACCATGTCCTTGCGTTGCACAAGTTGCTTGGATATACCACTGCAACGGGAAAAAAGTTATGCAGCTCATAAATGACACATTATTATAAAATATTTAAGATACTCTACTATCATTATGACAAAAAACATTTCTAACGATTCACACTACTATCATTAAATCTACATGCCAATAATACATTACGGCATATAAAGACTGCTTTTGATACAGATCTTTAAACTGACTAAGTTTCAAGTGCTCTGTAACAGAAAGATGAAAATTCCCGAAGAACTAAGGGAACTCTTAAAACCATAAAAGAAAGCCCAACCTGTCGTGATCGCAGATTATGAAGACCAAGCTTATCAGTTAATTCAGCGGCACTCATAGCATTTGGCAAATCTTGCTTATTTGCAAAAACAAGCAAAGTAGCATCTCGAAGTTCGTCCTGAAAAAACCAATAATGATGAACTTCTCAGAAGCACGAAAAAAAAAAAAATAAATAAAATAAAGACGAACTGATGCAAATTTTCTGATAGCACAACAAACAAAGCAGAATTTCTTCAAAAAAATGAAATCCCAGTTAGCTCAAAAAGTTATTCAATAGCAAAGTAGTCGCACCAGGCAAAGAATAAAATTCTCTAACTCTTTGTAAAATCTGTAAAAATAAGTAATGAACTACTGATACTTCTCACAACAAAATGCATTTTCGTAATCAATGAGAAACGTAAAAATGTAAAAACCTCCGAAAGCATCTTATGCAGTTCAGCTCGGCTTTCTTCAATACGTTCTCTGTCGTTGCTATCGACAACAAAGATCAAGCCCTGCAACACGCAACAATACACGTTGCCACAACCCAAATAAAAGACAAATCCTTTGTGAAACAATAACCACTCAAGTCGAATTTTCATTTGAGAACATATTCCAATTAGACAAGCCGATAGTCACAGTAAAACATTTTTTTGATGTCTTTTAACCAACAACGAATTCTTAATCTGGAAGATATCTGTAACTGGATCGGTAAATTACATGAAGTGTTGATTGTGCAATCAGAATCCAAGTCAATCAATCTAACTTGATAGAATTATTGATGCTTGAGAAATAAGGCGTACTATTGTGAGATGATCTTGAAACGTTACTTCTATCAGTCGAATTTTAAACTGAATTTGAAAAAGTTACAAATTTATATACATAAAATGTGTACCTGTAAAATGATTTGTAGGTACACATCAGTATGCATAGCTTAATTGATTTTTCTCTTTTATCCATTTAGTACAGTCATCTTAACTGCATCTTAGAATAACTTATTCTTGCGTCTCTGGAGTTTTGCGATTTATTAAAATTCCTAGTGACGAAAACCCCAGCCAGAAACACAGCAGGCCAAGTTCGACCTAATCGAATATTTCCTAAAATTGCGCCAGTTCTGGTTGTCCACCTCTCCCCTAGTTGAAGTATCAGATTTTCAAAATCAATTAAAAAGTATACAGTACCTGAGAAAAATCTGTAGTAATAACAAAATAACTTTGCAGATACAATGAATAAAAAGAATTGAAAACAGTCTCGTTGAAAAATCACCTGTGTATTTTGAAAATAGTGTCTCCAAAGTGGGCGGATTTTATCTTGACCGCCAACATCCCAAACTGTGAAAGAAATATTCTTATACTCTACTGTTTCCACATTAAATCCTGCAATCAATTTACTAGTCTCTTTTATGTTCCATTTCCCTAGCATTTGTTACCAAAAACAAAATAAACGGCTACTTCACTCGGCCTCATCACCAACATTGTTTGATTTATACGTAAACATGTATAAAATAATAATTATGATGCCTTCAAAACATTCACAGTGATTAATTAAACGAAGACAAACAAACCAATAGTTGGAATAGTAGTAACAATTTCACCCAACTTCAATTTATACAAAATAGTCGTTTTCCCTGCAGCATCCAAACCAACCATCAAAATTCGTACCTGCTTCTTGCCAAAGAGACGCCCAAAGAGGCCTGATATCGTCAGCCCCATTATAAACCAATTTTTCTCCTGTCAAATATTGTCTGCAATAACTTCACACTCGATCGTGTTGGGGAACAATGGAGCGATGAACGTTGTATTTAATAAACGAATTAATACAGACAACTTTACACAAAACAAATGCAAAAACCTTTTAGTTGAAAAGCATACTGAGTTAAGTTTAAAAATCGCAGAAAATCATTTTGTTATCAAGAAAAACATAGCAGGGGTATAAATCATTCGCTCAGGGGTTTTATATATTCTAATATTTCGATAACTATAAAAATAGCAAAAGAACCCAATTCAAAACACACAAAACGACCTTTTATCAATGGTTCGATATCGCTTGGAGAACGACTTAGTCTAGAGTTTCAAAACCAGAATGCACAACCCACTATTCAGGTTGTACGACAATCGGTTTGAGTATATAACAGCCGTAATTAAAAATATGACTGCTATAAATAGATAATGATTAAATTCCCTTTTGTGAACGAATACTTCCAGTTCATCAACAAGTGCATAATAGCGAGATATTTCTAGACGATCTGTCCCCTTCCGTTTCTTACAAATCTTCAGTGCTTTTGCTGTCAACCAAATAAATCGCGAGGAGATAAAGCGACAAACCATTATACTCTGCTAGCCTCATTGAGTTGGAAAGGTAGTTTTTTTAATAAACAAAATCCACTTCATTTTTATGAGACAAAACTGTCAATTTCTTAGGTTCTAAGATATCATACGCTACATTATATTCCTGCAGACAACGCGATTCGCTGCTAGATATGACCCTAACTGAACGATCTGCAAAAGTTCAACGACAAGCACTAGAAAGTTCTCATAACTCCATTTACGTAGTAGGCCAAAAATAAAAGTCCTACCTAACCAACATCCAACTTCTGGTTATCCAATCAAGCGACACCCATCACCACCCCATATGACCAATCAACGTAACTCCTCCAAATACAATAATAAAGAAGTCCCACGTCGACCGTGACACAAATAGCCTTTATGAAACTGCTCAGGCCACGGTTGTCATGACTGCTGTTTTCTTCCTAGCGCTTCCAGCAAAGACGAAACATGTTGTAGAGGACAACATTTAGTGGTACCATTAAATTTCACTGTTGAGCAAAATTAGGATTTTCTAAGAGGACATGACTGTTTCAGCTGATAAAACTCAACAGACTTCATAAAGAATTTTGGAAATGAAACTGCGCAAACATTGAGCAATCAGACTAAACAGTGCAGTAAATTCCAATGGGAAATGACGTAAGATAACCACAGACAAAACAGAAACGTCGTTTCGAAATCGAACTGGCAATCTCTGAAATGGTGGGCTTGCTGAAACCTTCGGATTCATGGTTCACTAAATAAGTATCTACTCGGATAGTTGAAAAAGTAGATTCTGATATGAACGGGAGCCAAGTAAGTGACGAAATCAGATCTAAGCAGTTTAAATTTAAGCTTGCGTAGAAAAAACCCTTGGACCTCACCAAAATAATCTACAGTCTAAAACTTTTGCCTTAGAACTTGAGATAGGTTTAGCCACTTTTTCAGTTTGCTAACTTTTTCAAATATCACAGCCACAATAATAGAGAAAGCATACTGTGGCAGGTAATTTTAGAGTGAAGTAGTTGCACACAACGTATAATCACATTCCAGTTACTTGGCAGTATAGCACCGAAAATTCGCTTAGTGTTGGTCGCGTTTATTAAACATTTACTGTCATATAATAAATCCAGTTAGGCTTAATCCATTTCAACCGAGCAAAGCAGACGATAGGATACATTATTTAGAAAGGAATTAGATCAGAATTTATCTTAATCACCAAATATCATTTCATAACCAAATAAAAAGCTTCCAAAATAAGCAGCTAATTGCTCGAAATACAGGAAAAGGGGTCTATTCATTCAAGACGTTAAGTAACATACGAGCTTAAAGCTCTAAAATATGGAGATTAGGAAAAACTCTAAAATATGGAGATTTATAACAGTAACATTTCAAATGAAAAATCCTTCAATAGGCCAGATAGACAATTTTTCATAGTCATTACAGCAAACAGTTAAAACGATCCGATAGTAAGGTTAGTCTAACAGCTGCTTTCACTGAGCCCAGTATTCGTAAGGAACCATTCAAATAAGCCTGCATTGGACTTACTTCTTTCTTTAAAATTCTAAACAGCAGCTCACGATTCAAGCACAAAGTAACATCAGCTGTCGAACTGATACCTTTGCAACACTTCCCAGAGCCGTTTTTTAAATCCACATAAAATTCACCAAATCCAATACAGTTCACTTGGAAGATATATCCTACAGAGGCGACCAATTGCTTATCGATAACCATTGTTAAAAAACAGAGCAAACGGTCAATATCCAAATTTTCTAATGAATCATTTAAAACGTATCTTAATTCGTTCTCTTCGCATAACACTGCTCCAAATAAATCAGTTTTGTCCTTTTCTGTATCACTTCCGATTTGCTGATGATCTGGTTGTCGTTTTTGCTCTTTTTGTACAACAAATTCCTGTGCTGCTCCTTTCACCGTTTCAATGATTCGAGAACCTAGTTCCGATTTCAATACCTAAACTTTAAAGGTTCGAATTACTGTCTGTCTCCCAAATAACAAAAACTTGTTACCTGTTTGTATGTATCTTGCAGAATTAACATAATCATCAAGTTTTAGAGTTTTAGTTTATCGTACAAAGTTAATGGTTGCATCATAAAAGTTTGGTTCTCATTTTTGTATCCGAAAAAGAAAATGCAAATACTTCGAGAGTTTAAATCAAAGTTATGATTGTTGCAAAATTATGATTGTAGCTAATGTAAGTGACAATGGCAGCACATGACCAACCTACTTTATTGAATGCAGCTAAAGTCATGTTCTCGCCTTCTTTAATCACTTTAACGTCCGATAATTCTATTTTAGTGATTTCAACACCCCAGGCAGTCGTGAGCACGTCAAGTTCAACCTGCATAAAAATCGTTATAATTGGCACATGCAAACGGCAGATTGAACTGTTAGAGTTATTTCAGAACGCACTACTGAAATTTCTAAATCGTTTGTTTCATAACTCTCATTTAAAATAGTTTTTTTTATTTAATCTAATTACGAATTTGGAAGAAAAAGTATAAGAGTAACTAATCAATTCGTCTCTAAAAACTCGGCCTTGAAAACTTATTTCCTTGCAATTGTTTTGTCATTATGCTAAGGATAACTGAGAACATTTTTAAAAATTTAAGGACCTGAAGGTTCTCGCATAACTGTCTACGACCTAAGCTCGATGTGACATCATTAACTCGTCGTTTACAAACCAAACGATGCAGCGTTGCAACAGATAAGACACGGGTTGATCGATTTCGTTCTTGCACTGCACAAACTGCTGCCAGTGCGTCTTTCACCTAAACAGTTTGACAAAAGCTAATAACGAGGATCTCCTCTGTCTCCTCTTATGATTCTAAATAAAGTATAATGGTGATAACAGTAGAGAATTACTGAGAACAAGTCCTGAAAATTTCAAGCAATCCAAGAAGATATGGCACCCAATAACTTCGTCTGTTTAGATTTAGTCAAGGGAAGCATATCCAGGAGAGATGTTGCAACTGCTCGTAAATGGAATGTAAAGTGCTACTGATGGAACCACCCCACATGACTCATCCATAAAGCAGACTTCTGACAATTAGTTATGATATATTATTCGCTAATTTTCACTATTTTGGTCTTGAAAGTAAAGTGATTCAAGATAAGCAGATCAACTTTTACTTGCGAGAAAACAGTAGCTCCAAGCTCCACTAGACCCCGATCAAAAGTTATTATTTGCATAGGAGGTACGTTAAATGCATTCACACGAAGATCCACTTTTGTGCACGTATCTATACATGGTAGCACTACAGTTGCACCCGGCCCACGTATTTTTTGTGCTCGACCAAGCCGGAGTACAACAAGTTGTTCAAAATCACCCACAAACTGAAATTTACTAAATTGAAAAGTAAAATGTACTATCCTTTCGGCATTTTCAGCGGTTTCTTCAGAAACCAAATCCATCGGACTATTTAAACTGAACATACCTCATCATTGGATCTAGTAAATATAAATCCTGAACTAAACGGATCGAAATAGCCTTAATTAAATGTTGAAGGTCACAAACAGGCATTTAGAATGAGACCAGCATACATAATGTCATAATATATATAATAAAGGTTTTAAGAAACAACCTTCAGTGAAAAAATAAGGGAAAAAGGAAGCGTCATTACAAACAGCAGAAATGCCAATACAACAAAAATACTTTCCACAGCAGCGGTATGTGCAGTAGGTGGCGTTCTTTCCATAAGTTCTATCCCAGTAGCAGAGTAGGAATACCGGCAGTACCGTGGACCAATCTATAAACAGCAACTGAAACGAATTGTTTCATCTTCGTAAATTATCTTGAATCTAACAACATTCCAAGATTTCTGGAAAGTTAATAGCGTAAACTTCTTGACTCTCGATCTTTCCGAAAAACAGAATACCGTATTTTCATAATTGGCAGATATATCACAAATTTAACGTAATCACCGACGGCTGCGATTTCATTTCGAAGAAAATGAGTAACAATGGAAAAATAAAATTCAATAACCATAACAACAAACCTGAGTTGGATAACGTTTCGGAGCCTTGTATCCCATTTTGTCAAGATCATTATACGGAGCGTAGGTGAAAGCTGAACGATATTTATAACGCCAATCCTCCTCTTTCAAAGCTTCTTCATTCATTTTTCTCTTTTAGTGTTTCTCAAATATTTCGGATTGATGCGCAAACTCAGGATCACCGTTATTTAGATGGATTTGGCTGGAAGGACACAATAATACCAGTGAGGAATACCCTCCACCGATCAATAGCAATACGTCAGCCATCAACAACAACTGCACGGCCTCCACTGGCAGCTAACAGCGAAGATAAAAGCGTACGAGTTGGCTGCTGCATTAGATGAGAAGTGCGTGGTAATTGACTGCACAGCTAGAAAGAACTCTGTCTGATTTGAA